AAAAAAATGTTACGATGGTTGTTGATGAGTTATTGTTTACCAAAATATTTCTACTTCAATCCCTTCTTAAAGGCCGTGAGCCAAATCATGCCTGTACTTGTAAATGATGTGAAAAAATCTTGATTCGGGATTGAAATCTTGCGGTTGTGTCACTAAATTTTAAATGGATCATTGCCGTACTTTACATTTTAGGTTTCGATGCAGCTGACTTGAATCTTTCAATTTCAATGCGATTCGTATTTAGTTGTTGCGATTATGCTACGCGGTTCGGTGCTCCGTTCTCATAATCGGATGGATTTATTATTTTTGTTCAAGATGTGAGACGGTCGAAAAAGAAGACGCAATAAGGTACTATAACATGGGCGTAGCTAGGATTTGAATCATGGGGGAGGGGTAAGAACATAAAGCGATTAGCGTTACTCATAATTCAAATAATTTACAGATAGACCATTGGATAACACATAAAACGTCAAAACGATTATACGTGTAGATAACACTTGGTCCCACTAAACTATTTTTAGACTCATATCTTATTTAATTTTTGATTTTAATGTAAAACTCACACGTTTGGTATGAAAAAATAGAATTCAGTTTTAGTTTCAAGTGCCCTCCCCCCTCTTGCCCCATCCTCGCTACGCTCATGTACTATAGTTATAATAGTAATATTATTTACGAAAATAATTAAATAAAACCTAATTGTCTCTCGTCCGGTGATCATATAGATAACATAAAAACTTATCTTAAGGATCAATGTAATTTTCAAGTCAATCGTGTAATAGGGAATCACATTGTACGTTCAACAAATAATACCACAAAATTGCCTATGCTACGAAAATACCTTGCTTCACCCTACTAAGTATTGTATTATGCCACTTTTCAATACATATAAAGTTTTGAATTGATCCCATTGCATCCGATTTTTCCTTGTTCTACGTCCTATGGCATTTACATTCTTTTTTTCCATATGTTTATAAATAATTCATGGTGCGAATATTTTCGTGTACAAAGTTTAAAGTAAAAAATCTTGTAATAGTATGGTCACATTAATCTTGAACAGCAAGTTTTCGTTTTCTTGACTGTCGCTATACTTATATTATGTAATGTAGCTGCAGTGTCTGCTGTACCAATGCACTACCACATATTTACCAATATTTTTCCACCAAGTACATGTTTTAAATCATGTAAATACTAGATTTTTAAAATTATTATATAATTGAACGAACACATTGAAGCTTTACATTGAAATATTTTCTTCCTCTAATTATCAGGTCCTATAAAAATCGAAACGATGTTCAGAGGTTTCTCGATAAAAATAAACAACTTTTTTTTTCGAAACGCGTTTTTTATAAGTGTTAATACACGCATGATAACGAAAATACGTGTTATTTACAATTAAATAACTGTCGACGGAAGAATAATACTCATACTTTCATTTGGCATCTAGATAGTTAATTTATTTTATGTACTTATTATATTTATAGGTAATTTAAGTAATTTAATTTCAGAGTTTTTCAATAGTTTCATGCGAAAAAAGAGCTGATTGCATTATGAGAAAATGTCTTTACAGCAACGGTAAAATTTAAAATATTTCAATATTATTGGCTTGAGATTTTTTCGACGTAATTATGGAATCAAATTTCAAATAATAATAAATCATTTTAAAAATCAGGCAAAGAAATTCACTTTTTAATGTTTAGTAGCTATACCCAAAGTAGGAAGGTACTATTTGTTTGCTTTCATACCTATAACCTTTAGCAAAATAAGAGAACATTTTAAAAAATGTTCATTATTTCAACGGGGATACGTTAATGTATACACGAACTAAAATAACTGTAAAATAATTTACATTAGATATTGGAACAATTCCGTTTCGTTAAGGGCGTATAAAATAAATATTAAAAATTCGCAGTCCACATTTTAACTCTAGATTTCGACCGTCGGTCGTCAATGGCAACGGCTCACATAGTTTGTTGTCACCTCATATTCGTCGGTGTGAAGGAACGCGCGTCGCCGTAAAAAAAGATAAAAAAATATCGTTTTAAGTATATCACGTGGATAGTATGGGTTTTAGAGTAGGTATTGAACGGTGCGTGTACTTTTAAAGTGTACGGGAAATGAGGTATGGCGTATGAAGTAGTAGGGAGGGGGTTAAGGAAATAATAGGATACACCATGAAAAATATACAACGATGTTCAACCGATACTTTTCTCTGCGCTCTGGAAAAAAAAAAATAATAACGTCAAATACTCTGCCAATTAAGTATTATCAAAATAAATATAGCAATATAGGACATGATATGTGGTCCCATGTAGGTGCGTAATAACGCGAAAGATAAGATTTCAAAAACATAATTCAGAAAAACGGTCATTGATTGATACGGACAAAAATGTTTACATATATTATTATTATTTATTATTTATTTACAAATATACAAAATATTACATAAAAATAAACATATTACATAATAAAGTGTACAATGTTAATGGGCCTCACTGAGCAAGCTCGTGTGGAGGCCCTAATATATGTAAATATATACCTACTTATTGTGTTTGCGTATATACTTATATTATAATTGTGCCTTTAAATAAACTGTCGGTATACAAATGTTTTATTCATGTTTCCCTTTTGTATTGCGATTTTCTATATCCGTTCCTCCAGTGTTTCCATTTAAACTGTATTCATTGATTTCAATGTTTTATTTTCTCTCTTCTCTTATCATTTGACCTTGTTGTTAACCATTGTCTATGTGTATTCTATTTGTTGTAACTATAAGCTACTTCCATAACATGAAAATAAAAACGTATTGAAAACGCAGGTGATTCAAATATTAATGTATGTGTAATGTTTAAAAACAAGCGCCGAAAGGGAAATGCTTTTAACTTAAATGAGAACTGCAATCCAAAGTCCAAGATTAAGTAGCTTTTATCATCTATAGATGAAGATAACTTTGAAAAACTATTAAAAGATCTAATTCCGATTCAAGAAGTATTTGGAAAAATTAAAAATAGAAGATAACAATTTTAAATTTAATACTAGTCCCGATTTCTTAAATATGTATTAATTTTTTTGTAATAAATAATAAAAATATAGTTAGTATTTACATTATATATGAAACTACATTTTGTTTACAGAATAAAGAAAATCTACCTATACATTTTTTTTCATGTATAATTTTTATGGAAAATATTAGACGATTAAGGATTAACATTGAGTCAACATTTTATTTAAAAATTCGTTCATGCTTATCCAAAATTAGATTCTTAGAACCGCCACTACAATAATTTTGAAGAAGGGTAATCACCCCCACTCCCACCACAAAAAATAAGTAAGTACCTACCTATTTATGTGCCTGATCTCGAGATCATATCAGTATGAAATATATAATTATTATAAATACCAACTTTTATGGATAGGAACATTATTAATTTTACGAATTTAATTCAGAGGTATCATACAGGGAAAAACACACATTTTAGCGATAATATGTACTAACTTACGAGTACGTAGGTAACACACGAAAACCAAAACTATTTTCTTTAAAAATTAAATTTTTTAAACTCTGAAATTAGTTACTTACAAACTAGATGGTTTTATAAGAAATTTTAATTTCAATAAAATACCTAGGTAGGTTATTCATCTGTTTTCATGTTTTTTTTGTTTTTTGAAATTTACATATAATGCATGATTTATTATTGTAACCATCTCAATCAATGGGTATTTTAATTTAGTATAATATATAATTTATTAAGTATAAATGGTACTTACCATATAAGATAACTATAAGAACAGTGCTCGAATTGGTGGTGGTGGTGGGGTGCGCAGGGGGACGGAGAAATTCTATTTTTTTATTTTTTTTTTCGTACCCCAACTATATTTTTTCACTGGACCGGGTGGCCAAAATAATTTTTATGAAAATTTGGATTTCAATTTGAGCACATTTTTTAAGGAATATTACGATTTATAATATCAAAATTATTTTTTATATTGGTTTATTAACACGTTGAGCTCCGGAAGTATTATTAACACTTACCAGTGCCCAGCCTATGTTAGCCTGAAATCACGTTCGGATTTGACTACGCGTGCGATAATAGATAGAACCGAGCAATGCAGAACACGGTACTGGTTGAAAATTAATTCCAATGTGTGGTAAATATAATTCTATTTACCATACTGAGTAGGTACCTATACAGGTCGGTGGCGCAACCAGGATTTTTTTCAAAGGGGGTGTCCGCCAGTGGTATAATCAAAGCCGGATTAAGGGGGGTCTACCCGGAGCTCTCTCGAGTACCTAAATGAAAGGAGCCCAAACAATTTTAAGCTAATACAAATTTTTTATCATACTAAAATTAGTAGTTTTATAGACATAAATTGTATGTACCTATTAATTTTATAATTTTATAATGCAATTGAAAAATTGTGAAATAGTTAAAAAAAAATGTATCGTTTTGCGAGCGTAGCGAGCAGCTTTGTAAACCATGTTTTGTCAAAAGGGCCCATATAAAATTTCAGCCCAGCAGCCCAATAAGTGCTTAATCCGGCCTTGGGTATAATGTATGATGTGATATACAGCTTAAAAAGTTAATAATCATGGAATTTCGAATCACAGCTATGTAATACTAATGTATTATTTTATTCAAACCTACCGTTGTAATGATTTCTGCGTTTTTAATTCGTTCGATAAACTGAAAATCATTACCAAAATGTATTTTTAGATATAAATCACATAATTTTAGTAGTTACGTCAAGTAGAAAAATATTTTAGAAAGTTATTATACACATTACAATTTTATTAATTTTGTTTTTTTTCCCCAGTTTATAGTTTTTCACTCTTTTATGTCTGTAGTTCTCAAACATTTTCGAATAAAAGATTATAAGGAAAATTAGAAAAATCTGACCAAACAATAATTGATTATTTATATATTTTTGAATAATTTGAAAATATAATTTTTTTAAAGAAAAAAAAAATATTAACTTTGTTCTGATTAGGATCTCCAAGTGATATAAAAATATTATCCAGAAAAATTGTTAAAGATGGGGACTGACTCGGGGAGACTGAAACACTATAGTTGTACATACAATCATAGGCGGTCCTACGAGTGCAACCTCTGCAGCCTGTGCTACATCTGACATTTCAACCGCCACATTTTTTTTTATTGTATATCATTACACAACACGCAGTGGAGTAAAGTAAGGTAATGCTCATGATGTTTTTCAAACGTATGTAAAGGTACCCATACACGGTCAGTTATGAATGTCAGTTTTTATGATTGTCACTCTTATGAATGACATACATGGCTAATCATGGTTAGAAAAAACATGGCCATTCATGAATGACAATCGTTTGATAATTCTTCACTTTTAGATTAAAGATAAAAAACAAAGACCACCATCTAAATCTATCGTAGCCTATGCCCTACATAGTAATTGTACATCCAAATTTAAATTTTCCTGAAAAATGGAAGAAGCTTGCATTGCAATTATTGTTGTTTTGGCTACAGATAATGCAGACGAAGGAAGGAAACGAAAGAAAAAACAAAGAATATGGTCAAAAGAATGGTTTTTAAAAAGAAACAAATACACACATCATAACCTACTAGATGAACTTTTATTGACATCAAATGAAGATTATGCAAATTTATAATCATCACTTTTTATTCTCCAAACTGCAGGTAGTTCGCGATATAGGTTTATAAATTCACGCCAGGAATCTATGTTCTTAGTAGTAACCATAATTATCCTAGGTACATACAAAAAAAAAAAAAAATTAAAAAATATTATAACTTTATATTGATACTTAAAATAACAATATGTTTAGTTAAAATATACTTACTTTATTAATGAATAACGATTTTGAAAGTGAAAAGTATTGCACGTATAAGCACGTGGTTCAACTGTGATAATGTTTTTGTTATTTTTTTGAATGATAACGAGTATAAACCATTACCACACATGGTCAGTCATGATTGTCAATCGCTCTGATTGACAACAAAAAATCAAACTTGTTTGAAATTCATCAGTCACAAAAAAAGATTGACATTCAACAATATACACGGTCAATCACGAGTGACAATCACAAAAACTGACATTCATAACTGACCGTGTATGGGTACCATAATGATTGTAATGAAGATATTTTTAACCGATTATCCTTAAAACAGCGTCAAATGTTACCCAAGCTACTAATGTCACTTGGAATTGGCATATAGTCCTTGAGTGCATAGAATACGTTGTTTGTTATCAGTTAGGATTTTTTGTATTAATTTTATATTATATCAAAGATTTTTTCTTACGGATTAAACATTAAAATATACTACTACAAATATACTATAGTACGCTTGTTTACGTATTGTTATTCGTACAAATGACTTACATCGTATTGCTTTATCAGAGAATGTTCATTTTACCGGATTGACGTGACTAACTTCAGGTGGGTCCTCGATTTTTTGTAAATAAACTTTTATTAATTTATTACTTACTGTATAGCTGGGTTCACACTACACCGTGACGTGAATTTTACCAGACGGTGTGCTTTGAAAATGTGTGATACCATTATATATCTTATGGTGATGGTATCAAATTTTGGTTACATATTTTCGCAATTTTTTATTAGATATGAAATATTTTCATAAGGTTCAATAAATAATAACTGATTAATATTGTATTATATATTAGACAGTATGTATTATATTATTATTATTAGGGCTCGGAACTTAATGTACTTAAAAAGTACTAAATATTCATGCACTTATGCGCTTAAAAAAGTACAAATATGCTTCAAAAACATGCACTAATTTTTTTTTTTTTTAATGCAAAAATGTTCATAAATAAAGATGAAATGAAAGTGACAGTATTTTACACAACATTAGATAAACTAATAAATGGTATTAATTCTAGATTTAACCAAGAATCATTACAAATTGTCGATTCAATTGGAATTATGGTGAAATTAGAAACTGGTGAAAATATATCATATAAATGTTTAAAAGAACAATTTGATATATGTGAAGATGATTTGTGCACAGAAATAAAATTATTACAAAATATGCCAGATATTCCAAATGGTACTTCACTTCAAACAATTCATGAATGGTTAGATTGGTTGCAAGATTCTAATAAAATTGAAATTTTTTCAAACTTTTCTAAAGCTACACAATTATTTGTAACTATACCTGTTACAAGTTGCAGTTGTGAACGCAGCTGCTCGAAAATGACTATTCTTAAAAATAAACTTCGAACAACAATGACCCAAAAAGATTGGATTCACTGATGTTATTATTTGTTGAACAGCATAAAACAAACAATGTGGATATTGATAAGGTCATCGACGAATTTAAAATACTAAATGGCATAACACGTAGAATGGTGTCATAATTTATAATTTTAGCAATTTTTTTTTTCTTATTAACTTGAAAATAAATAATATAAAATAAAATTCCAAGTAGGAAAATTGAATGAAATTTGTACATATATATATATTCTATTTGTGTGTGGTATAGGAATGTGTATGTCTATATGTGTAAATTTGAAGTGCTGCATCTGAAATAAAATCCTGGGACCGCTTATGCATACAATGTACATACGCGTATATTGTAGGTATATGGTGTTAGGTATACATGATTTAAAATAATACAATATTAACAGAGGAGTATTTAATACAAGATTCAAAATTTATACGACCTGCATATATAATAATGCTCTTCAATAAATTGACTTAAGTTTAAGAAGAATTGTCATTGTATTCTAGCAGGCACCTACATAATATTAAATGATTGCAGCATAACTATAACCAGGGCTGGGCAGTATCTTAGATAATAGTATTTAAGATATGTATCTGAGATTCAATTGTATCTTGTTTCGAGATACATTATTTTAATGTATCTGGTATCGTGGATTTAAATATTTTTTTAACTCGTATTTACTATCTTTTTATGATTAAAAATACTAGATACAACCTATTGTTATGTAATAAAAATTATTAATAATTTAGATTAAAGTTAAATGAACAATATATACAATATTTGCTCATAATAAAGATTATATTACATATAATCTTTATTATGTGCAAATTTCGTAATCAGTAAGTTACATAAATCCGGTTTATTGGCAGAATGTTTTCTTAATTTAATCCCGCTAAACATTTATTTTAGACTGTGTAATTGTGCGAGAATCGATTCATATTTTCTGTCTACGCGATATTTGTGTAGTGTCGTCCGATTTTAATTATCTAGATATTATTAAAAACATGGATAATAATGTAATTGTTAATATTCCAAAATCCTTAGATGGAATATTCTATACAATATTAAATTTTGATGAAATAATAAATGTGAATTGAAAATTGAAATTATTTATTATTAACAATTATCAATATTTATTATTATTAATTGAAATTAGTCTCTTTAAAAAGTAACCAGGAATTTATTTTAAAACATGGGATATAAAATATAAAACACTTATACTATAATACTACATATCATTTTTTTTAAATTTATACATTTAATAGTTAATAAATAAACATTGTAATTTATAAATATATTTATATTCTTTTTTATTGTACCTAATGTAAATGAATAAATAAATAAATATTAATAAATGTATAAAGTATCTTGTATCTTATATGTATCTCAGCTACCTATATCTTTCAGGGGTGGACGCAGAAAAAAATTGGGGGGGAGGGGGTGGTTGAAAAAATAAGAATAATCACCGTCAGGTCCGTATTTAAAAATTTGGCGCCCACGGGCATATTATTTTATTAACCCCCCAAAAAAATAAATAATAATAATAATATAACACATATTATTTCGTCCATAATCAAGATTCTTTAATATTAAAATATAACTTATAAATGAAAATCGTTTAATACTTTTTTTAATTAACAAATAATAACATAATAAAACATACTATTTTCTTTTTTTTCATTAGTTACATCATTTTTAAAATTAATTTTACTAAAATATTTTGCCACCCCCAAACATGTGCCTACCCGTTCTCCCTCTAAATATGGACCTGATTATCGTTATTTTGAAATAATTGACTATTGTCGATTGTTATCACATGACCATACAATAGAAAATTTAGGGAAACCCGTCAATTATAATGTACCATTGTCAATAATTTTATATTGATTACGTATATTTACTTATTATTAGTTACTGATAATAAGCGACTTATAAACACGCATTATTTTTATGAAGTAAATGCCATCATATAATTTCAAAAATTTGAGTTTTAAGTACCAATACCTTTCAGAACGTTTGGAAAATTACAAATTCACTTTTCTTAACAAAACATTTTTTTTCTAGCATATTTTAATCGTATTTTGAACATTTCATTTTTTTTAAGGTATATAAGGTAGGATAACTACGTTTGAAATTAATTATCCATTCATTTCTGGGGGGGGGGGGTTGAACCTCCAAAACCCCTCTCTGCGTCTGCCACTGGTATCTTGATACGAACTATAAATGTATCTTGTATTTAGATACTTTTTTTTTTTAGGTATCTTGCCCAGCTCTGACTATAACTTATAATTATTATGATATGAGGTAGGTATCAATCATCTCCTTAATGGGATGGTCCACGATGAGTAGCACAAAGGGTGACTGGTAGAATATTACGTTCCTATCGGACATATTATCAAATCTTCAAAAGAGGCACAGCTGCCAACTGATACGGACGCAGCGATGAGGCTGTTGTTAGTGGAGTAGCTTTGGACCTTCAACCAGACGATCAAGGCTATTATGGGCGATAAAGATGAGCTACAGATGGAGTGCCAACCGAGGGAAGGGATTTCAGAATGTGGTGGTCAACATAACCTACACTACTGTATCCTTCTCAGTGAGGGACAACCATTTGGAGCATATCCCAACAATGTTTTAAATATTAAATAAACGATGATAAGAATCCGAGTCAAAAATGTGAAAAAACAATTCCGATTTCTTGGTTAAACTGGAAAAAAAAGTGTATAATTATCATTTCTGTAAATGTCTATCAAGTTTCTGCCTATCTAACACACATATCCACTTCACATGTTAATATGTCATACAACTACTTTCAGAAAAATATTCATCTTTAGATAAAACAATATAAATAAAGCAATAACAGTATTATTAAATTTCAAGTATTCCAGTTTTTCTTTATAAATCGTAAAAACATGAGTAGAATAATTATTTATGAGTACAAACGTTTCATTTTATAAGATTAGCAAAATGATAAATAATAGTAAATTTGCATTGTAAAACTACTCTTCAACACTAAAAATATTTGTGTTTTAATTCCAAAAACAAACATTTTTTAATTTGAGTAAGTAGTCATCATAAGTACATTATATTGTGTAATTATCTATTAATTAAATGTATACAAATCTTAAATTCTAAATCAATAGGTACCTAGTTGCAATATTTCTAGTTGTTTCATATAAAATACATGTCTTCATACCTACTTGTCTTGGTTGTTGTAACTAATTAAAATAATTGAGTAGTCAGAGGTACAGTGCAATGATAAGAAAAACAATACACATAAAATGCTTGTGGTTTATCAAAACGTCCAATTCATATCAATATTATTATTAAATAACATTTTACACAATTGTTATTAATGTAGAATAAGTAATTAAACAATGTATTTAATTTTAAATTCTTAAATAGACTTGATATATTAATCAGACTTGTAAGGTTTTGTTTTTATTTCAAAATACACTTTTTTAAATTTATTAATTGTTTAACATTTCATTTCTTTTCTTTTTTATTCTTGGACATCATATAGAGAGAAGCATTGAATGCAATAAAAAAACATTATTGATGTTACTAAAAAAAGGAAAACTAATACTTTTTCTCAATATTAATGACCTAACTCGAGTAACTCATCCATCAAAACTAAGTTATACTTATAAAAATGCCAAAAATATATTGTCTTGTGTATGATGATAAATATGTTTTAGCAAGGGTTGGACATCTGAAATATAAGAACATATTGTAAAATTATACTTATTAATAATTAAAAATATACTAAAGATAAAATTTAAGTTATATTATAAATATGAAATTAATTATTTTAATTTAAATAAATATATTAATAAAAATTAATTATTGGTTGTAAGAAAGTTTTAAAACTTCATATTGGAGAAAAGTAAGTCAAAGTGACACGAAGAAACATTTTTTATATTTTTTTTATAAATAAAATACTTTACCTTCCTTGACTTTGTTATCCAACATCTTGGCAATGATATTGAATCGTTTAACTTTGGTCATGGCTCTTAAGTATTCTATAATAAGATCTAATTCACTATCAGGATCAAAATTTTGACTTAAAGTTTTCAAAAACTTTGACATAATTTCTTCTTCCAAATTTGTACTAATAACTAAATTAAACAAAAATTGTATTATGAGAACAAATTTTGCAATAATTTATAATAAAACTACAAGCATAGTTTAACCAAGAAATAAGTCTCTTGATATTCGAAAGAACAAAGAAATTATTGATTATTATGAAATTATTATGATGAAGAGCATTTTCAATAAAAATAAAACCACAACATATTTAATAATTTAAAAAAAAAAAAAAAATCTAAGAAATTGTTATAACTAAGGTTTGAGATTCCAAGCATTTGATTATTTTTTTGGTTTAATATAAAATTTAGTAGAGGGCTAAGGAAACTCATTTCATGTTACAATGATATCAAATATAAAAATTTAAGTGATTGCTTTTTAGTTTATTTTGATTGTCTTTAATAAAATAGCTTCTATCTAATTTTTATAATTATTTTTGCTATTTTGTATATATAACTGCTAAATTATGACATGTACCACTGACAAAAATTTAGAAATTTTATTCGTTGTATAGAATTAATGTCTATTTCTCCAATGGTTATAAATAATCTTTATTTCCAATTTCATTGAAAGTAATTTCTTAGACTTTATTTTGGTTTACACAGATGGTTCCATTTCTCCTATTTAGCTGGATACTTCTGAATCATAAACATCATTTACAAGTAATTTCCTCCCTTATTTTTCATCTTTTACAGCCACATTTCTGCTTTTATTTATATTTGCATAAACATTCTCTCTATCATATGGGTTCATTGTTTTTTTAATTATTCCACTAGATCACGTTATATTTAATTTTTAAATTTATCATAAAAATTGTATGTTCTGGTTTCCTATAAGGATGCCCATTTTCACATTCGGTCATGAACATGTTAAGGAGGCTGGCTTTATTATTTTCTATAATACTTTAGTATCTTTATTATATTGGTACTTTAATTCCTCATGTTATATATATATATATATCGATTATCATTATTTTAAATATTTTGTATCATACCTTAAGATAAATCTTGTAACTGACGAACTAAATAGTTAATAAAAGCTCTTAAAAAAAAAAAAAAAAAATGTTAAAATTAAATGATAATATAAAAATAAAAGTGTTGATAGAATATGTATATAAAAATAAATAAAAACAAATAAAAGCAGAAAAATTAAAAATGATAATTAATATTATAAAAAATTGAAGTAAATTACAGTCTAAAAACAAACCATAAAAACAAGGCGTTATTATTTATTAAAATAAAAGAAATTTGTTTTTGAAAAATTAACACTTAGACATATAAATCGTTTGCTAATAATATTAACTATATTATAATTGATTAATCTACAATATAAGTATACAGCAATTTTTAATTTAAAGCGTTACACAATTAGTCAATAACACTGATTCTATATTAACTATGATCACTACCAGTTTATTATGAATTATGATTAACAAATTTATCAGGTATAACAAAACAAAACAGAAACAACATACAAACAATTAACATACAACAAACTCAACAAATAACTAAAATAAAAGCTGATAGATTTCTTATACATACCTTTGGGTAAATCTTTTGGTTTAATACTCCGTAAAAATTTATTGTATAATTCATAATTGTTTTTTTGTCTGACCGATTTCCAACTTATCAAAAATTCATGAACACTTGACACAGTTTTCAAACTTAATTCTTCACTTTCATAATTTTTACAAGGTGATTTATCAGTTCCATTAACTCTATTATGATTAATATTCTAAAATATAAATATATGTATAAATACTCATATAATTATTTCCCTAAATTAAATTATTTAAATCAAACCGTTGAATTTTCATGATGGCCATTTGTTTTAGCAGAATTTATATCAGTAATATTTAATCTTTTTGGTTTTTTAAATTCTGGAATACTAGACTTTGATATAGATTCAGGCACAATATCAGGTACTAAAAATTGCCAACGTTTCCTTGTTCCTTCATTTTTTAACATTTTGTGACGAATCCATTTTTTCTTACGCTCTTGCCACTCATGCCAAGGACACAAATGACAAACACATTCTGTTAAGCAACCATAAGGATCAGCTTCATACAGATATTCAACATTCTCTTTGTTTAACTCTGAAAGTTCTCCATGAGATACACGAAAAGGTTCTTCTATATCCCAAACAGATTGATCATAGTGTCGAGTTATTTCACGAACTCTAGAAATAAAACCAAATTTAGAAAAAGTATTCAGAATTTAAATATTAATTAATTCTAGAACATTACCTAATAAGTTTTTGTGGTGGTAAATTTGATATTATATTTTTTAATTCTTTTATATAATTAAGAGCTTTTGAGTTGTTACAATCATATTTTAACGTGGTCTCAAAAGATCTTAATGCCTATCATAAAAAAACATTTCAAATTCATTTATAATAGAATATAAATTTAAAAATTCTTAATACTTACCAAGCAGTACATAGAAATTTCTTTAAAACATGAACCTCTACGAAAATGTGCTTTTACATTTCTTGGATCTTTTTCAATTATTTCTCTTAAATCATCCAATGCTTGTTCATATTTCTTTAATTTTAAATCTATAAATGTTAATAAACAATGTGGATTAATAAAACAATAATTCAATTAATAATAATAAATACATAAATAGTCTATGCTGCAAAATTATTAAATTATATAATATTTTTGTAAATAAAATTTATTATATTCAATTAACAAATTTTTGTATATAATTAAGGTTCAAATAAATATATATATAGGTTTAAATCTTAGGGACAAACAACTGGTAGCCAGCATACTTTTTTTTATCTGGCCTATGCTACATTTTAAAATTAATTTTTTAAGTTTAACGGTATTTAATTTTATCACACTGATTGTAAAATGTAGATATTATATTTTTCTCTATTATTAAACAACAGCTAATTTATTATGTATAAATATCCATTTTGGCAGACCTAACATTGCTGTAGGAATTAGATACTTATTTTATTGTATTGGTTCAGTCATAAAATTTAATTATCAATTTTAATGACATTTTGTTATTTTTGTTTTCCTTACTCTGGCCCACTAGATTTTAAAGTTCTATATATTGGCCCTCTAGTTACTTTGAGTTACCCCCATCCTTACTATAAAGTTTGCATAAAAACTATTACTAAAATGAATAGCTTAATTAAATTTTACAGTTTCATACTTGCATATAAAATTATAAAAAATAACCATAGGAAAACAATGTAAATTACTTACATGACATAGCTCTATTGTTTTTTGCTTCTAGTGTTGAATAAATACTTATACTTGTATTATAATGAAGAAGAGCTCCTTCGTAATCATTTGATTTAAAACATTCGTTTCCTAGTTCTTTTTCTCGTATAGCTACTTCTTGCGGTTCTAAAATACCATCTAAAATAAATCAAATGTTTACTTTTATTAAATTTTTAAAATTTTTAAGACAGCTGAAAGATTGCCAAAATGTATTCAAATATCTTAAATTATTTACCTAACATGCAGAAAAAAAAAAGGTTTAAAAATCATGTTTAGTATGCCTGAACAGTGAACTATTGGCATTAAATTTACATATCAATATATAAATTAAAAATACAATATCAGTGAAAAATAATTTTAAAAGAGGGTTCCAGTCTCATATTCTTCTAACTAAAATGAAAAAAACCATAAATGGGAATATGTCTAATTCATACTATATTATGTAAATAAATTATCATAAAGATTAAAATATTGTTACTAGTTGTTTTGTTATGGAAAAAGGTATACATAAGAATGTAACATTATTTTAACAATATTTTAAACCTTACATTTGAATATGAAAATATTGATTTTTATGTGGCTTAAACTTAAAGATTTTAGTCTAGTTAGTTTTATGTGTTAAGAATTTTTATTACACAGTTAAAATGTTTAGTAAACATATTGTAAATATATTAATTATTGTATCAACAATTTTTAAATTTATAGCAATTACAACTTTAAGTTAAAATAACTATAATATAAGTAAATAAGTAATAACTAGGTTTAGGGACTTCTAGCATTTACATATTTTTTTTAGATATTGTTAAATATAACAGAGTGCATAATAAATTTGTTTTTTAGTGTCATGATATCAAATCTAAAATTTGAATGTGCATATTTTTGCATATTTGATAGATTTTGCAGGAGAGTGCATATTTTAAAATTTTTATGCTTATTTTGCATATTTTAACAAATTTTTCAAATTTAAAATTAAAAACTATAGATACATATAACTATAAATACATATTTCAACTGATCGAAAAAATAAATGTACTACGAGGACTTAATACTTCCAGTAATATGCTACATGCAAACTATCTCTCATATATTGTTATAATTTTTGTGTAAGTATAAATAATATTATAAACCCGTAAAGACCGTTCTAATCTATCTAATCCATGAATCTAACCCGCTGGATATCGACCAGATGTTGATATAGAATAATAGATTATTTTTTTAGTGTTCAGTTCAGTTGATTGTTATCTATCATTGTTCTTACGTCTTGCAACCATGCAACGTCAAATCATATATAAAACGTCGTACGAAAATATTTTGTAATGTTGAGTAACACCAAAAGTATAACAGTTTATGAGTAGCCAACTACAAAGTTTTGTTTTGGAGCTTAAAGATACATTTACATCCAGTGGACCAGGGGGTATTTAGACTTACTTTTAGGGGGGACTCAAATTTTTTCTTTAATTCAGGCTCAAAATGTACAAGTAAAATGTTTGGTAATATTTAAATCAAGTGAATCCTTAATATTCGTAATTTTTTTTTTTCAATCTAATGCCGGATCCACTCAGAATTGAATTTGTGTAATTTTTTTTAAACTCCTGTTTGTGTTTTGAAAGTTACGCTTGTGTTTTAATTGATTTTTCACTAAGTATGGACTCGACAAAAAGCCCAATTCAATATTCACAGCTATGTGTAATTTGATTTCATTATAAAATGATCCACATTAAAAAAATTTGAAATGTATATCTCACATATAATTGATTCATTAAATATGGATTCAGTGGTAGGGGAAATCGCCCCCTTCTCCCTAAAATACGCCCCTGCGATGTACACATTTTATTTTGTGTACTATGTGGTCATTTTTTTTTTTTTTTAATGCATACTTATGTATTTTATAAAGTTATAAGTCCCTAAGCCTAGTAATAACTAAGAACTATTTAAACAATAAAATATAATAAAGGAAAATTCTAAATGCAAGATAGAATAATAAATTTGTGTAAAGAGATAAGCTATTTTAAATATAAAACATACTTTTGGGTAAATTAAAAGTAACAATTATTTAAATTATGAATGACCATAGCTCATATGAATTAAGACAATTAAAGAGCATAAATCAATTTAAAAGTAGAAGTAACATTTGAAATTTTGAATTTATTATTTTATATAATATATTGCTTAAAATATTTAATACTTACTCATAGACATTGTGTTTACATAACTCTTCATAGATTCGACCCGATCATTACAATTTGATGTACCATTCATTCCAAACGATAAGGAATTAGAATTAATAATTTTTTTTTTAATTGTTTGTAATTTTTCAATCTTTTCTTGGTTGTCCAATTTCATTATTTCAACATCAGGATCATATTTATCCCATTTGGAATAAGAAACTTTTAATGGTTCATTATGTACACGAGACACTTTAGGCATTGATAGTTCTTGCTCTGGCTAATAATGAATACAGTTTTTGTAAATATGTATAAAATAATATTTACATTAATTTTAAGTAATATTAACATTTTCAATAAATTATTTTTAATAAGCTTCAATAAAAAATATTACCTTTTCACTATTAAACATAGATGTTAAATCAATGGACTTTCGAACTGGTTGATCACTATGACCATTCATGAGACTTTCAGTGTTTAGTTTTCCAAGTTGAAGATCTTTTTCTTGTTTGTTCGATTTTACTATCCATTTCTTAACAAATATATTTTAAAACAATTAATAAAAATGTAGGAAAAATAATATATTCTCAACTACACATTACAAATAAAAATCCAGAAATTATAAATAAATAATTTAATATCTAAAAAACATATTCAAGAAGTTGATAAATAAATATTATTCAATTATTTATAGTCAAATAAATATAGAAAAAGTTTAAACCAAATTGACACTATAATAATAATGTACTTCAATTATTTACATGTTTTGCTAGTTATTTTAATTATAAATCAAAAGTATTTATTAATTTAATTTTACAAATACATTATTAATAATATGCCCCATCAATTCAATAATGATTTTTAATATTCAAAATCTATTGCAAGATACAAAATATATTCTTATTAAATTTAAAAATTCTTTGAAATAATTATTATTACTTTGAAACTGATAACAAATTAATTGTGATTTTAATAGAAGTGTAAAATAAAAATGGTATATATCAAATTGATATATTATTTTCTTTATAACCTTAATAGTGGCCTTAGATTTTTTTTAAACATTCATTCTATTTCTTAATTATCATGATTAATTGATGAAAACAAAACTTTTTTTCTAACATGTTCTAAACTAGTAATTTAATAATTTGTAATTAGGTTCATAAACTTACAGTTATATCATCAAGTATATCGTAATTTTCTTCATTCGGGAGTATATCAGAAGATTTTTGTGCAAAGCATAGTTTTCTATTCAATATTGAAGCATCTGGTTTAATTTCGCGTAGACGGATTTCAGTTGCTCTCAACAATTGTGGAAAAACTCCTTCTTCTCCAGATCTGTAATAATATGATAAATAACATATAACATTATTTTATATTTTATATTAAATAAAAATTAATTATAAATTATTAGGTTTCTATCTAATAAATCAATATTTTATTATTTTAACAAAAACAATACTCTTGTAAGAAGTCTGTTAGTTAATTTAAAAGAAAAATTAGCAATTTATTCCCAGTTATCATCTTAGTAAGTATTTAAAGAAAGTATAACAAATTAATAAATGTTATACAGATATTATTAAATAATAAAATATTTCTGAATGGTATACATGCTTATTTAAAATTAACTACAAATATGCTTAATTTATTAAGCTGAAAGCCTTTACCAATTATTAATTAATAAATTACAGATTTTTACAAAATATTATATGGATAAAGAAATGTTTAAATATTAATTTGATTGCACTGAAATAATATTAGATGTTAAATTTCAATGTTTAAAAGTTGTTTACATAGAATGGTTTTAACACAGGTTTTAAATAGTAATATATTTTTAATAAATCTAATTTATTTATAATGAATATTAATTTAATTTATTTTTTAAATATCAAACACATATAGGTCATATTATCAGTATAATTTCTATTATATCATATATACTATTAATGTACATTAATATTTATATATACTTACTATTAAAAATGTCTTAGACATCACATTTTAAATGATAAAAAAAAATTTCAATCAAATTTTACATTAAATATGAATACAGGTGAAAATGCAATAACTTTTGAATGTTTTTCCAGTTTTCATTTTTAAGATATTTAAGAAAATTTTTTGGTTATTAGGAAAATGTAATTTATAAACAACAACAGTATGTATATGATGTATATTAGAAAATATAATTTACACATGCGTATAAGTTAAATTAAATTTAAACATTGAATTAAAATTAATCACTGTTAGTAAATTATGATAGATTTTATTATAACTCTGCTCACCGTGATCATTCACATAGACTAAATAATTTGTATTTCAAACAATATGGTAATGGGCATTATTAATAAATTAAAATTTTTTTCAATGAATACAAATGTACAAAAGTTGTCAGTTCAAATAATCATGAATTATATATTATACTACACTTTCTTATATTTAGTATAATATATAGTTTAATTACTTTGTTTTTAAAACCATCTTTATTTATTTGTCAACAAATCATTATTGACAAACCTACTAGATAATAGATATAACACTTATCACCTATACCAATTACATGAAAATATAAAAATATAATTTACAATAATGTAATTAGTTATTAATTAACGTAAAATACAATTTAAATCAAAATAATTATAAAACAATCTTTTTTATTAATTATAATCATAATTAGGTTCAACAAATTAAACAACACATTGTAATAAACTAATTAATGATTATGGTCTAAATTGTTAAAAAATGAAATGTTTTTTAACCATAATATCGAAAAACTAATCTCATTGATTCTAGCATTTAAATTTAAAAACAAAATCAAGTGGAGCATTTCACGACAAAACCATAGGCAGGTATTGTAACAATAATAATTAAAAATATAAGTAACAGAAATCATATCACACAGCTATACTCCATTGTGATGCATAATGTAAAAAAATATGAATGAATTGATATCGTACAACGGAGCTGTCTTATGTACTCGTAACACACGAGAAAAATAATAACATGAATACATAAAGATGTAAATATTAACCTAACAAAAAAAAAAAAAAAACGAAGACCCAATAACTCACTCCAGAATTTTAATGATGCCTTTCAAAATTTTAGGATCTTCGCACTTGTTCACATAATCGAAATCGATATGGTTCAAGGGGATACCGTATTTCTCGATGAGCGTCCGTTTCTGATCGATGGCCATTTGATTCGCGTCTAGAAACCGGGAATGGCGAGAATTCACCTTACGTGCCTAACCGAGTGATCATTGGGCAGTGGTTAGCAACGGGCCGCGACCGAACTAACTCTTGAGCTGGTATGAAATGCAAATATATATTTAAGCCGCAAAAGGTGTAATCTACTCACGTCACGTTTTTTTTTATACTATTTAATTTTTTTTTTTTTTTAATTAAAACATGAACGATATTTACGGTTTGGGAAACGGATTTGAAGTAAAACGTGAAATAAGAGAAAGACATTAGAAAAAACATATGATATTACCAAAAATCAATGTGATAACAGCGGTAACTATGATACAGGGTTACGGTACACCTATCGCCATCTCTGCATCAGACGGTGTACGAATAAACATTATCAATCGACCGTTTACATGGCACCTTTTCGAGCACGAATATTTTTCTAGTTTTCTGTCCAACATTTCAGTCACTTTCGAACCAATGAGTGAGCACGGGTGATAGGGATGCGAACCCTGTTACGAGTCTTACGAGTCATTTCGGTACATAAGTCTAGGTGCGTTGCAGGGGCGGCTCCAGAGCCTTGGTTTGGGGGGGAGGAGGGCTAAGTTATAATTTTACAAAATCATATAACAAAAAGAAAACAACAACTTAGTCCATACAGAAATGTTTGCTACGCAATTCATATTTTGAATATTATAAAATAATAATATTATAGTATCATAGCATAGTATATTTTATATTAATATAGTTTATTTATAGCCTTATTGGTTCTTCATAATATAGATAGCAGGTACATCGTAATACACTGTCATACCTTTATGGCTCTATGTACATACTTGTGTGTGTCACATAATAGTCCGTATTATAATATGCATTTTCTGTTAACAATATAATTTTTTTTTATAAATACGGTATGGGATTGGGTTGGGGCCACGGCCTTTAGCTCCCCCCTCCCTGGAGCCGCTCCTGGTGCGTTCACTGTCGTTGGCTACGGGAAAACATACAATAACTAATTAAATAAGGAATTACAAATCAATTATTTCACTTATTCAAATTATTTTCTCTTAAGTGTTATTTATGTTTAATCTAAAAGTGTCTTACCTATAAGGCTAAATAATGCATATTTTGTGCTGTTAAAATGCCTTTACAGTCTAATATATACTACTATCCACTGGGTTTGTGAAACAACAAGACAATTCTTGGTTGCAAACGCTGATATTGAAATGATTATTGCACTGTAATCTAATTAAGATTCAGTTCACAAAACTGCAATGAATAATGTAAGCACGCATTTACTCAACGGAGTCACGTGATCACGACAAGGGATTTTGATTTTTTAAGAAAATTTTATTTTTCTGTAAAAAATTGTCATCAGTAAACGTACAACAAATCAGAGTAATTTATTGCACGTCTGCCGGAACCTCTTACGAACAAAACCTTCTCAAAATCAATATCGCGAGAATAAAAAAATAAATAACCAATCAAATAATAATAGAATCATAAAGCGAAAATAAAAATAATAAATGAAATAATCTGTAATGTCAAAAGGTAATAAAAAGAACTAAGGTACATACTCTTAACTTTTTTTATCAGTAAATACATTAAGTTGTTAATTTAAATGTAAAATTCTATAAAAGCAGAATAAATAAAAATAAAATTAATTTTTAATGAAAATGCATTTTTTTTAACTTACAGTGGCTTTACGAATATTATGCTACTCTACAAAATGGATGTATAATATAATGTACTAGTTAAATTACTTAAGCTAGTACGGAACAGTAATGACCGGGGAGAAAATGATTACAAAAATCGCATAGTGTTGAACTTCGTTTAGAATTGTATGTATTTTCATATTTTTTGTCGCTTTAGTTTACGAGTACATGTTAATAGAATATTACAATAATAATTATTGTAATATTCGATGAACAATAAATAATTATTATTATTATTATCAATAATTATTGAGGTTCACTATAGTATATATTATTGGATATTTATAGTAATGTAAAAAAAATGGTGGCCAAAATCAAATTGTTGCATTATAAAATCAACAAATTAAATTAGTTAATTAATTTATGATTTCGACGCTAGTTAATTAAAATTTACTAATTTAAGACAGATTTTTTTTTTTTATTTCCTAAGTACTAGTATTCGATTACAAAGGTTAATGAAAAATATTAGGAATCAAAGTAAATGTCCTTCCGTGAACATTAATACATAATAAAATTAAAATGAATATTAATTGATATTAAAAATTATTAAATGGTTAATAATCGTAAATAATTATTTAAAAAAATAAAAAAAAATAGTTAATATAAATAAATAAATTATAAAATGCTTAATTAGCCTTAAATAAAGCCTTAATTAGCTTGGAGTATTATTATACGAGTAAATACTCGTTAAGACGACCGGTTTCGATTTAGAAATTCATCGTCAGGTATATACAAAGTCGATAAAATCGTGACTCAAAACATTATTACTTAATATTTTATTGACTTTGTATGTCCTTAATGATGAATTTCTAATTCGAAATTGATCTTACTTTAAAAATATAATAGCAATGCTTGTTTGTACCTTTTCTAGAATACTCGTTTTCTTTCCTCTAAAGTTCAGTTGTAAATTATGGGTATTTAAAATTTAGTGCCTCAAATTATATTTCTAGCGATCTTAATCTTTATCAGGGTTAGAAAACTTTTTACAAAAAATTAAAATAAACTCACACTAATTTATTAAGAAAATTGTACAATGTAACTTATTTATTAAAATGTATGTTAAAACTTTAAATTATAAATTAAGTACAAATTGATCTAGTTTCTGTTATTAGAGCAGAATGAGAAATTCCCGGACTATAATATACATAATTTTAGAATTTAGTTTCAAACTAATCCCTATTGAACACCAAGTTTAATTTTTTGTTAAGACCTTTATAATTCAATTTACCATTTTCATTAGTTTTAACTTAGTAAAAAATGTCATCAAAATATTATTTGAATTGCATACTCTTTTTAGGACATTTTTTAAATAAATAATTAAATGTTCAAAAAAATCAAAAAAATCTGTTAGCCATAGCCAAGTAGCTTCTTTGCAATCAGAGTTTACAATGATTAAACATTTATATATTGTAATATGTAGGTTATTAATTATTAATACCTAATGAAAAATAAGCTACTACCTCGAATGAAATTTTTTTGTTAATATATTTATAATGATTAAATTGCAAAGATGTCAATGACCTAATCCTAACCTAACCCTGAATCTGCGCCTGTGGATGGTATTGATACTGCAGCCGTTGCACTTGTGTGCATCTTTCACGAAAAGCCCCTTATTATTTCACTGTTCATTCAGTATCGACTACTTTAGGTCGTCATACCGTCCAATCGAATTTCCATTTTTTCATCGTATGGTATCCAATTGAATCCTAAATCATTGGCTTTCTGCAGTCTTGATTTATTATTTCAGTTGGGCATCTTTAAATTTTAGATATTTTAAATGACAATAATATTGTAAATGGTACTCTTAAATCCGCGATCGTGTAGTCTACATTGCTCCGGCCTTTAACTGTCGATATTCATAAGCTAAAATATAAATTAACTTTTTACTAACTATTTGGTAGCTATATGTATGTAATAGTAATTAAACCGGTATTACTATTATTATTTTTACTATTATACTGTTCATTGTTGTCATTAGGCTTCAGAGAAAAATTATCATAATAAGAGTTTACTTATAATTATTTTGCTCTTACACAACTTCCGTCAAAATGTCAAATCGAATACGACAAAAAGACTCTGGCTATTCAACAATCTATGATGATGTACCAAAACGCATAAACTTAGTAATCTCAATAAACTACTGTGTACAGACCATATTAAGGCCATTGACATTATATGCTGTAAATACTGATTTTATAGATTTATTATTTTAATAGATTTTTTTTATTTAATTAAATATTAAAAATGACTAAATATTGTACAAATTATATCTAAATTATTATACGAGTATATGCTTAGTATTATATAATACCTCGCAAATAAAAAATTATTAAATATATTTTATTTAAGAGAAAAATTTCATAGTTGTTGTCCACAAAAAACTATTAATAATGTTACATAAAATTATTATTAGTTACAATAAAACAATATTTGTCAAAGTTGTCGAAAAGTTATTGTTCCGAAGAATTGTACGTTTTCTTTATTACATACATTTATAAATTAATTTAATTTATACAGCGAAACTCTTTAGCCAAACTGGCCCCTGTCTACGTATACCAAACGATAGAAAAATATTTACTTATTTTTCATATTACCGCAAGAAAAATATACCTACATACAGTGTTCCTTTCAACATTTAAAAATCTACTCAAATCATAGATTTACTTCAAAAATTTAAATATCATCACGTAAAAATATAATTTATATTTAAACATTTTATTTTATTCGATTAATATGAAATAATAATAATTTGTTTTCTAAATATTATGGATTTAAAATAATTAAATCAATCAAATACATTTTTATCATTTGTTATATAAAATTATACATCGAAATAGAAAATCAATGTTATATAACTTTTGCACAATAAAGTAAATTATTTTTAGACAAATTAATAAGCTAACCGTTGATACGTTTGTTGAATCTTCGAAGGAATGTCGACCTACCATGTTTGTATTTTGTCGAGTATAACGCCTGAGTTACTTGATTGTAGGTTTCCATGGAATTCGTTCGTTATTGAACACCAGTTGTTTAGGTGTAGGGTTAAACTAGAACGAGAATAGTATACCTTAGCTCATTGAGGGATTAATTACGATTTTCAACGTATTGTTGTCGACGAAAAGTGCTATGTAATTGTGGGAAAACTGTGGGATGTCCGAGATAAATGAATTAAAAATAATTGGCCCAATAGGTACTATATGAATAGTAAACAAAAAGACATCACGAAAAACATTATTATTAACAGACTGTTATTAAAATATTGAATTTAATAATCGAATTTCTTTTTCGTAATGTTTTTATACATGAATAAATTAACTTAGAAGAAGAATAATTTTAGTTACACACTATGTATTCTGAATTAGATACAGTATACACAAATATAGGGATAAAAATTAACTCAAAGAATTTATTAACTATTTTTTTATTTATAAATTTAGTGTTTATTTTTTTTTTGTTGAAACTTATGAGTAGTCTCTGACAAATACATAAGAGTGAACATTTATTAATTTATCATATGAACCACTTGAGCCACAATTATGATGAATATGAAGTTTAACAACAAATCACTTTTACTCGTTCAGAGTTATTTTTCAGTATGATAATTTAACGTTGCTTTTGAAATAATATAAACTAATATGATTAGATTCAAAAGACGTATACACGGAATCAATAACAGTACAATTTTTCCTCCGGACACCTTTTATAACCTTATCGATTGAGTGGTTCTCTGTTTATTTAGGTTTATCCGGTATAAAAGAATATAATAAACATTCGTGGATGACATTTAGCCTTAGTGTTTCTCCTGATCTACACAGAGAGCTTTTTGAAATACAACACTGAACATTCTATTTTAAAATATCATATAAAGCCAATTGGGTATGCTAACATAATCATTTTTAATTGCATTAGCAATTACATAATATTTATTTTTTAATAATTAATTTTGGTATACATATGAAACAGGTTTAATAAAAACAACAAACACTCATGTTCACAAATTATCTGTTAATGTATTTTCGAAAGATGACAATATTTTCTTGGCACAAATAAGGCTTGGTATCCTTAATAACTAATTTTAACTGCAGTTTAAAAATGAGGTCATCAAATCAACAAAACATAATTATATTATTATAACTTTGCTAAAGGCATTGAAACATATTATTAAATAAAAATATCAAAAGAGATATTGTCGTTTCATTATGATTAGTCCTTCAAGAGGCAATCACAAGAAAAGAGAATATCTCATAACAAATGGACTTTAGTATCAATAATTTTAAGTATTTAATAAAAATTAATAATAATATACAATTAAACTAATAACGAAATTACCTATTTATATGGCATTGTGTATTATTAATATTATATAGAGTAACATATTATTATAAACACTAACATTAATATTGTTTTAGGACATTATAATATAATATCATTATACAACAATAAATTAAGAGTACAGAGTTTTGGAAGCTGTACAACATAGATATAACATAAGATGATTATCTGAAACATTTATTTTAGTATTACATGTATTATATTACTGTGCGTACGAATCCAGCGTTTGACAAATTCTTAAGATGATTAATCTGCCGAAATTGAAACGAATATTTCTCATGGAATTCTCATATGACTGTTAATTATATTATTATATGGCATGATCGATTAAATACGGATTTAATTCCGTCATAGAGAGTCGAAGTTCGATGTATCGCTGCCCTGTAATAATAAAAATTTAACGACTGAATTCACATTTCGCATCAACAATTAACGTAAGTAGTAATTTTCCAATATATGTAATATTGTTTTATTTATATAAATTACCCTGTTATCAGGTTTATATAGTTTTGATTGAGGCATCAGATACGTGGAGCCCAAGTCTCTTTCGACCATTGTGTGACCTTCCTAAAAAAAACCAACAAAATTACATATTAATATACTAAAAAATAATAATATTTTTTAGTCTTTAACTCCAGACTATGCATTTATTTATTTCTAAATATAAATCATTTATTTATTTATTAATTTCCGAGTATTAACAGATTACTAATTTCTGTTTTATTTTTGTTCGCCGAAATCTTTGCTGTAGGTTACGAGAGGTAAGCCCATTTTTTCAATGCGTTTTATTAATTACAATAGAATTTTTCTCCATGTTTCGTAATATTATACATATAAATATAATGTAATTTGAGTGAATAATAATTTTTCTTACATCATTTGTTTTATGCGAGTACTGTGATTTCGATTCATAATGACTTTCCGGATGATAGCGTCTCGTCGGTGGTTGTATGGTCGTTTCGTCAAATGATCTTGCTACAGACACAGTTCTAGATCGTAATTAACAAATAATTGATAGATAAAAAATAAAATTGTTCGCAACGTATAACATTTGTGTTGGTTTATTTACCTCGCAGCTGTCGTTCTACCAGTGTTGAAATCTGGTTTGTCGTCCTCATGGCCTACATATGTTTCGGCTAGCTCTTTAGTTTTAACAACGGTAGCCGAAACCTCGAATCCAGCGGACACTAGTGCCCCTATATTATATTAAACATATATTGTGATTAATTGAAAATGTTGGTTGGTCTTTAAAATAATTAATTCAATATTATACCGGTAGATGGTTTTCTTGGAGCAGCGTGTTTTTTCCGTTGGGGAGGTTGAATATCTACGGATCTTTGAGTCGAATCACTCGGCTTCCTGCTGCTACATCTTGAACCCTACATATAAACAACGTGCATTGAAAACATTTTTTCCACATATTTCATCGAAATTATGTAAATAATTGACTACCTTTGTCGGGGTTTGTCTGGAGTCCAAGTACGACATTGCTTTCTGTTCCGGTCCAAAAGTGGACATGGTTAATATCGACGGAGCCTGCTGAGGGGTTGACCTATACTTCGCCCTAGGTATCATTACAGTAAGACTTCTATCTCTTTGTTCCAATCCACTACGCATGGTACTGCCCCCGTGAATAGATGGAGATGGGGCCTTCATTTGAGAATGGACTTGCGCGTGAGTTTGTCTCTGCATATTGACAATCTATATTATTTGCAGTCATTAAATTACTTCACCATCAAAATGTTATACCACTCACTTGTTTAACATAAGGAGGAGGGGTATGGTCGACGCTTGTCTCGCTGCCTGTATCGACACTGATCATCGCTCTTTTGTCTCCACTCGTCGTCGCTATCATATTTCTATAACGTCTGAAACCTATAACTGGACGTTGAGGTTGATACAAACCCATAACCGACTCCCTGGATCGTTTTTTACAACAAGCCATTAACAAACACGCGACAAGTAGTGACAATAACATCACTCCAATGGCAATCAAACCCAATAATAAAACTGATAAAAATAAAATTAAATATTAAAACTTTATTTAAGTATAAAATATTGCATATTTTATAAGATTATTTACCTTTCAAGTTAAACTGACAGTGTTTACCAGCGTACCATTGGAAACATTCACAGATCGTCTGGTCCTGATTGCTTAAATAACAAGTACCATGATAGTTACACACGTCACATCCAATAAGTTCGGCTAAAAAATAAACATCCAATGATTTTACATTGAAAGCATAGATTCTAATAAAAATAAGTAAATCTAAATTACTTACATGAACAAACTCGACCAGGGAATTGAGTGTTATGCGAAAGGTCAGTGAATCCTTCTTTACAGCTGCAAGTATACGTTCCGTGTAAATTAAAACATTTAGCATTATCTGAGCAGTCGTGGAACTTCGAATCGGTACATTCATCAAAATCTTATCAAAAAATACAATTTAAGTTTTTGAACAAAATTATTACTGGTAAATATTTTGTATACCTTCTGCTGACAATAATTGTAATTGATCACGAGCAGCGAATACGTCGGTTCCTCCTAAACTGTAATTCGTAGCCCTCAGTGATTTTTTCGTCGCTTCCCACAATTTAGTGTCTTCTGCGTTTTCAGATAGCTTAAAATTAAAGTAAAACAATTAAAGATTAAAAGCTATAGTAATAAGAATTTATTAAGAATAATACGAGTATTATCGTCGGTAAAACATTACCTGTATTATATATGAAACGGCGGCTTTTTCACCATTTTCAACAGGTTCAAAACCTCCTACAATCACACCGTGGTAAATATCTCTTAGATCTGATTGCATTGACATCCGGTTCAGTCCTTCCCTTGTGGCTTCGGTTAATTGCTGATATTGATTTGAACCCGGGTTTTCTAAATTTGACGAATACTTAATTGGTTCTTTGCGGAATTTGTCCAATACCAACTTCATTGTGTACGTATAAGTTGCTGATAAAAATACATAATTTTTACACAGTTTTTAGAATAGTACTATAAAAATATATCAAAATCATTACTCACGTTTACAAGGTCGGTCCATAAATATTCTTGCAAAACCGGGCCTACAGACGCATCTCATAACGTTTTCTACTCTTTGACATATTTCATTTTTTGATGCCTTGCATTCAGGTCGACATTCAGAATCTGATGAATGCGTTAAAATACCACTCAACAATACATCACTGGGTCCTATTTCGTTTGTTTCATCGGGAACTTGTATTTCTGGCGGTATTCCATGGTTCCCGCCTCCTCCTTTTTTATCTGTCATGACCACTAATAATGTTTCATTTTCGTCCGGTGGCACATTTATGGTTTTTGTTTTTGTACCTTCAACAACAGGTGCTAAAAGCACTGGATCAGAGTGAATAGACGCGGGAAGCGTGGTTGTTATTGTAGACAGGACTTGCGTGGGTTTAACCAACGTATGGAATTCAGTGACTGTATCCACTAAAGTGGAGGTTTGTGTTTTAGTGAGAACAAGTGTATGTGTAGATGGTTCAAGTCCATCACTTTGTAAGACCGTTGTTTCCGTTATAGTTACCGATAACGTTTGTGTATGAGTAACAAATCGCGTCGGGAGCGATGATCCTTGATGTAATTGTTTATGGAACTCGTCCATGAATGAAGGTCTTTCTGGTAATTGTAATATTGTGACCTGAGGTCTCATTTGTGATTTTTGCTTTGGCGTTGTTGGATTTTCAACTTCCTTTTCACTAGATTTCTCCTCGACTTTTTCTTCGTTTTTAACAACAACACTAATAACGCTATGATAGTCGGTAGTTTTACTTGTGGTGGGCTTACTAGGTGTGGTGTACGATTTTATTATACCAAGAGTAGACGATGTTAGCGCTGGAGTTTCTGTTGTAGATTGCACTGTTTCGATTTTACTTTCTGTACTTGAAATAGGGCTGTATTCATGCCATTTCATTGTGTCCATTGTGATAACAGTAGGTATTACATTTGTTACCGGACCGCTAAAAATAACGGTTTTTTCGTTAGGTTTTTCTTGTACATTTGATTTGATATTTGAGCCTTGACTGATGACTTTACTTTCTGCTTTCAATATTTCAGGCTTTTCCTCCTTGTATTTTGATCTATAATCATGTCTTGAATTCGAAGGAGTCTCCCATTTATGAACAGGTTCAATTTTCGCGGTCGTTGATAAAGGTTTCAAAATCATTTCTTCTTGATTATTAGAGGGCTTTACTGGTCTTCTAGTCAGTGGTCTTTCAAATTGATATGGTGGTGCCGAAGTTGAAGGTTTTAGCTGTGGGCGATAAGGTCTTTTAGATCCTAAAGGTCTCTGTGTAACGTTATCATGTTTCAATGAATGTGTAAGAATCGGAGGAGGCGATAAGCCTACCACTTCATTGTCACGGTTTGGTTTAACAATGGATGGTTGTGGTGTACTACTTTGACTCTCTAAATCATTGTGTTCATGTTTAACTATTGGTAGTGGTGGTACTTTCTCGTCCATATTCATAGCTTGTTTAATATCATCCCTTGGTGGAACATTAATCATAAGTTTATTCTGTTTTATTGCATTATTTATCATTGCTTGTTCATTTTTTGAATGTTGTATATTATATTGGAGATCAGGACGTTTATTATTTGGAACAACAAAGTGTCCGGGTTTTAATTCCGTTTGTTCATTGTTACTTACAGGTTGTCCGATCGACAACGTTTGTTCTTCACCTTTAAAATTACCAACGATAGGTTTGCCTGTAATTATTGGAGTTCGATCGTCATCCAACTCACTACTATGAACGCCAAACGGGAGTTCTCCGGGTCTTAGTGGATTTTTTTTCGATTCTTGGGTGACTTCACCGTCTTCAAATTGTAACAAATCATCTTCGACTGAAAGTACGGCATCGGGTCTTCTTACGAATGAGTTAACTTGAGAGATTGTCGGTGGTGTTAAATATTGATTGTTCGAAATCTGTGGTGGTTTTAAAACGTGTACAGGTCTTGTTTTAACTTCTTCCGTCTCATTATCGAACAGAACGGTATGATGTGATTCCGAGTCACCCACAGTTATGCCTCCTGCTGGAGAGACGGGAATGTCAAAATTCATTGCATTCGCTGGTATTTTTGATGCAACATTATTCGTTGGATTTAAGGTACCATAAATTTCTAATCCTACAAAGCCTGGGTTTACATGGTTTTCCGGATATGGCTGTGGGTCATTAAAAATTTCTCCTTTAGGACCGTGGCCAACTGCAGGTTGATCACTATATATTAATGCTGTTTGACTTCCATGCGGAATCACAACTTGGGCAACTTGAGATGGTTTTATATTTACCAATAACGGATCAATAGAAGATTGTTCCAAAAACGCTGGTTGATTGGATGTGATCAAATATTGATTACCATAACTAACTTGTGGTTGAATATCTGGATTTTTTAAAACCAACGGCTGAACATCAGTCACAAACTTTGTAGGCCAAGGATCTGGTTTGCTTAATGGTATAATATTAACCTCAGACTTAATTGGTGCATTCGTCAATTGATATTGAGCCTGTACGCGATTTTCGTGATATCGAGGAGGCTGATTATTTTTTCTATCTGTATGAGGTAATGGATTTTTCAAGTGTTCTCTTGCAAAATTATTCGGAACGGAAATTTTGTCTTTGAACTGTGGAGGAGGGGGTGGTCTCATACCAAAAGGTATTTCTTCCCTCTTTGAATTTTCTACTGGTTGTCTTATACCATAAGGTATTTCTTCTCTATTCGAATTGTCTATCGGTGGTCTTATATCGAAATGTATTTCTTCTCTATTTGAATTTTCAATCGGAGGCCTCATACCATAAGGTGTTTCTTCTTTCTTTGAATTTTCTATAGGTGGTCTTGGACCTAAAACTGAAGGCTTACCAATTATTACATCACTGTTTGTCGTAATTACTTCACCAGGGCTTATAGGAATTCCTCCAGATATTAAAGACGCTTCAACAGGTGGCCTTGCAGGTCCAACGTGTGGATGCCTTTGATCTGTATCTGGATATTGTTGACTTTCTGATCCGTCAGAGTCTGCTAGTCCACCAACTGGTATGTATATTGGAGCTCGACTTGTTGTTTCTTGTTTCATTGGTTTTGGTGTTGATTTTTGTAGCACATGGACATTTTTGGTTTTTTGTTCATTTTTTAAATTATTTTGAATTATACCAGCAACAGCACTGATAACAGGTTTAAGAGCAGTTAAGCTACTTCCTATTGTTCCAAAATTAATTAATCCTCCGACGTTCGTATTATCTGGCTTGACAGTTATTGTATTTGTTGGTAATTGTTGTTCAGACTTGGTCGGAGAGTTTTTTTTCGGTGGTTTTTGAATTTCAGTCTTTTGAGACACTTTACTTACACTTGATGGCTTGATTGTATCTTTCAACTTATCAGCAGGCTTATAAGTGTTTTCAGTTATTGTTGGTTTTAACGTTTCTTGTGTTTGAATAGATTGGGTTGGATTAATTTCAAATTGTTTACTTGGCAATAAATCATTCATAGCAGTGAATTCTATTTTTTGACCATTGTCCAAAGTTGCAGTGGCAGTGATAGGTATTTTTTCATTATGTACAGACGAGCTTATCGAAGATAAATAATCTGTATTAAATATTGAAGTGTTTAATGATTCAGTTACTATGTTCTGTACAATTTTGGTTCTTGATTTAACTTGTGTGCTGGATGGATTTTTCCCATCATTATCTTTCAACAATGTGGTGAAATAAGTAAATGTTGTTAAATAGGTCTTAGTGGCGTACAAATGAAATGGTAATTTATCAACGGTACGCGTCATTTGTATCTCTTGCATTGCAGTTGATACTGGATACGTTTCTGTGACTACATCCGAAGATACTGATATATCGGACTTGACAATTGTATTGTCTCCATCTTGAATGGTGTTTAAATACGTATACGTGACGTAATACGTTTTAGTCACATCCGATAATGCACTTTCCAGGTTCAACTTCACTGTATCCAACGTCGGTGTGTTGTCCGTTTGTGTTATTACTACTTGAGTCAATATATCCTCTGTGCTTACCACAGTGTAATCAGGACCATCATTCAACGTTTTGGTAAACGAAACTAAGAATAATAATGATTATGGTAACAAAAAAAAAAAATTAAATTAAATATATCAGTAATCTTACCTGTATTAAGATAGGTGTTGGTATTATGATAAGCTGGTTCAGATGGTTGTAAAGGAGTGAGAAACTCATGAGGCGCTGTTACTGTATTAGCTACAGTTTTGCGACTTGTCATGACGAGAGGTATGTCTCCATCAACGATGGTATTCAAATACGTATAAGTCGTGTGGTACACACCGGTTTCTAAACTTGGACTGGCTGTCAATGTTACCTGACTAAGTGTAGAAGTAGGAGTGATTTTATTCACTTCATCTGTTACGACGTTAGATACCACTTTTTCTCGGCTGGATACAACAGTAGCTTCTCCATCCAAAAATGTTGTTAGATACGTATATGTAGTCAGATATGTTTTGGTAACAAACTGATTATTCATGCTCTACAACGAAATTTAAGAATGAAGAAAACTATTCAATGATTATATGAAAAACAAATAATCTCTAGAACAAACTTGTTTAATTGGATGGGGTAGCATCATAAGCATGTGATCGGTCAGTGTACTTGGAGCGAGTGTAATGGGCTTTGCTTGCGATGTGGGTAGTACCCTTAATACGCTGGCTTGGCCGGGATAAGTACTTTTGTCTCCAGCAACTATAACTTCGACGCCATTGCTCATTTTTTTTGTAGCAAAATTAAATCGCCTCTCATCAAACCCCCTTTGCTCATCAGCTAAAATATGAATAATTAATTATTAAACCAGACGTTCTAAGAATTATTATTATAAAACAAAATCTTACCTATGGTGCCAGTTTTATAGTCTTGTAGATTTTTTGAGAAAGTAAAAGAAGAAGTGTCCCTATCACCAACATTGTAAAAAATGCTTTGGGTTAAAAATGTTTTCGGTGTTTTTGGAAAATCGAACAGAAATACGTCCTTAGTAGATAGAAAATTGGACGTGTCTCTTTTTTTTCGATTTTTTAAACTCCAGATTTTTGAGTTTATGACTTCCCGCTGAACTGGAGTATCAGCGGAGCCTTTCAATAAAAAATGACCGGTAGATTCTTGGGCTTGTTGAGAAGAGGGCTCAACAATGACTACTTTAACTTTTGTAGCACGGTTTTCAATTTTCACATTTTTACTCACATCACCTAATATACTTTCTAAGCTTTGTGTTTCTTCTTCGTTATATCTTTGAATTTGCTCATCATTGGTAGACGACAGCAAAATGTCTTCAAATTCAGTCGCCAATAAATCGATAACCGACGAAGGTTCTACCTCACGTTTACGAACGGTTACAGTTTCATCAAAATTTACCGTCGATAAAACTGTACTAAACTCTCCGGGTCTTTTACCGGATACGTATAGTGTCACAACACTCGCTTCCGCCGGTTGTATAGCCGGGTCTGGTGGTTTCTTAGCTATACTTTTTTTCTTTGCCGGTTTAGAATCATCTTTTTGTGAAACATTATCTTCATACTTCGGGGTTGGTTCGATTAACTCTTGGAGAAGTTCATCATGCGTGGAATCAATGCTACCAAGTAGACTGTTTGATGTAGTCGCTTGTCCTAGCAGCTGAGCTTGTAGTAATGCAGGCAATAATAATGTATTTAGTTGGTTGTTAGACTGTTGGATAGTCGGAGTTGTAACTATTGTTTCAGTGATATATTCAGTAGCCGTAATAACATTAGACGAACTGTCAATAACAGTTGTGGAAATTACTTTTCCTCTAAAAGTAATCGGTAGTACAGTGGACGTGGAGTGCGTTACTGTTGTTACATAAGTCGTACTTTTTGTTTTGAACTCTGTGGTGGGTGATTGCGGGACAGCCATTGCTGAATTCAAAGCTAATAATGGATTTGCCGTTTGCTGAATCCCCAAGTTACCCAAAAGCAATTGCGACAACAGTAAATTGGCCAATGGTGCATTATTAGCCAGTTGTGGTTGAATGGTACTCACTTCGGGTTTCACTTCATAAATGGTACTAGGTACAATGTGAGCGTACGAAGTTTTTCTTCCTCTAATATAAGTGGGAGTAAACGTTACACTGCTTGTCGGCTGTTCATAAATAATAAATTTAGTTATTTCTGTAGCGCCACTCGGTAATGTTTCAGTGACTTCTCTGGCAAGCTGAATTACTGGATAACCATTTTTACCAGCCACAGTACTATATTGGTGAGGCCCGAGTATTTCGATACTAGGTTTAGCTGTCAAAACTTGTTTGTACTCCGTATTTTTCCCTATAACTATAGGTATTGTTAATTCTGTTGGTATTTTATGTGTGACTGTGATCGATCCATCGAAAATACTCTGAGAGTTAGAAAACGTATTTAGATCTTCTCTGTTTCTTGTTCGCGTATTTTGTCTACGCGCCGAGGGCGTATAACGGCGATTATTGCGTACTGGTTCCGGTGTTGTAGTTGGATACCTTAATCTAGATAATCTTTTGGCCGTAGTAGATTCTTGTTGCACTGGTGGTCGCGTTCTTCTAAAATTCGAAGTTCTCGAAGTTGGCGCTGGAGCCGCTGTTGTAGGAGTCTTTTCACGTAAAGTGAACTGTGATCTGCCCACAGTAGAAGACGAAGTAGTAGGTGCTACTCTTTGTTGTTGTGGCTGTTGTTGTTGCTGTTGTTGTCTAGATCGACTTGGTTGCCTTCTTGAAGGTGGAGGTGTTCTTACCGGTGCAGGAGTTTCTTGCTCCACATATTCATCATAATAGTAATAATCTACGGCAGTATTTTTAGCTGGCTGTTTACTTCTATAACTTCTACTGTTATCATATTTGTTTCCAAATTCGACTTGTCTTCTTGCTCTACTTCTTCCTCTAGTAAAAGGCCGAATTTGAACTTGGTTATTGTTAAAAGTACGACTACCCCTTAACGGTCGCTCTGTCTCCGATACTGCATTGGATTGTGCTTCAACTTGTGTAACGGTACTATCGAAATTATCATCAATCACTTCATCTACATTGATTTCTTGTGGCAGTTTTTCTTCGTCCAAACTTTGTTCACTTGTTACTTCTTGTTCTTGTTCTTTTTTACCGAAACTTCTAGACGGCAACAATCCATTAACCGGTTTTGGCCGGTTACGTGTAATTAAAGGACTTGGTGTTTTTGGTCTTTGGGGCCTAGGTGTGGTAGTAGTGGTACTTGTTGTTGTTCTAACTGTAGTTCTTGCAGAATTTCTTCTTGGAGGTTGTGTTGTAATTGAAGTTTTAGGTAATGGAGGTCGACGAAGTTTTAACAAAGGGTTATTTCCTCTTCTTGATGATTCCGTTGTTGATGGTGATGCAGCGATTTCTTCCTCATCATTATTAGAAGTTAATAAAGTTTCGTCTAACACTAATGATGTGCTAACCTCATTGTTGTCCGGTATTTCTTCAGTACTTGTTGTTATAGTACTTGATTGTCGATTAAAATTCGAAGATGCTGTCGGTCTTATTCTGAACCTTGACGGTATTGAACTTTTGGGTGTTATATCTGAGCTCAGCCTCGAGCTTGATTGTCTTTGACTCAAACTACTTCTTCTAGAACCTCCAAAACTAGGCGTAGTTGATGATGTGGGTGTGATTTTTAATGTCGAAGAAGGTGTTCTATTCTTGAAATTGACCGAAGGTGAGATTACTGGTGTATTAGCACTTTTGGATCTAGAATATTTTCGGCTATTTGACGACGATGGAATTATTTCGGGCAGTTGAGATGAACTAGATTTTCTGACTCCCGAAAAACGATTTCTGCTAGAGGGTCCTCCTACACCCTTTTCGGTTGATTTTAACGCTGGAGTAGCGACTATTGTGGGTGTTATACTCCTATTTATAGTAGCAGCACCTACACTGTCAATAGTTTTTTTTTTCGGTTGGAATGTTGGTCTGGGCCTTGAAGCGAATGGCCTAATTACAGGAAAAGTTTTCTTTTTAGAATCTTCGGTTTCTTCGCTTTTTTCGGTTGTAGAACCGTTTTCGCCCTGTGAACTTTCAATTGCTGCAGGGGACGGTGATATAGGCATTTCGCTTTGCAAAATTTCATTCAACTGTGTGGAAGAAGCTTTAATTTCTTGAACGGCAGTAGGTTTCACTCCTGTTTTAACTTTAGAATCGCTTATAAATTCTTGAGTATATTTTCCATCTACTACTTTCCCTATAACTTTTGTTTCATAGTAAGTTGTACTTATGTCTTTAACACTTGTACCTTCAATTAAACTTACTAAACCAGTTCGATATGTCTTAGCACCTAGTACTGTTGTAGAAGGATCAGTAACTTTCTTATCATTAACCTTAATTGACGATGTGCTCTCTATGACTTGAGCGTAAAGCTGATCAATATAAGTACCAATAGCTTTTGTTGTGTAAAATGTGGTACTGATTCCGTCAGCGTCAATAATTTTACCCTCGTTCAACGCCACAATACCTGTATTTTTACCATCAGATTTCATTCCACTCGGTGATACGTTTTTAACAATATTTGACCGGCTCTCGAGTACTTGGGCGTATAATCCATCAATGTAAGTGCCATATACATCCGTAGTAAATGAAGTCGTTTCCCCATTGTTAACTTCTTGGGTTAAGATGGATGATATCAACCCTATGGGTTTCAAAACTGCAATTGGTGTACTGTCAGTCAATGGTTTCTCTGGCATAGTTTTAATAACACTATCCTCGCTTTTATTTTCGTTAGATACATTTTCTTCAGCACTTGTTGTGTTCATCACATTAGTTACGGTTTCCAATCTACTGTTCACTATTGTTTCATTATCAAGGTAAGAAGTGGTAAAATATGTGAACGTAGTGAAGAACGTAGTAGGCTCGAGTTCGTGTGGTTTTTCAGTAGCCGTAAGCATTGATGATGGCTTTATTGTGGGTGTAATTTTAATACTATCTGATACAGTAGGAGACACAACATTGGTTAACGTATCTTCACGACTAGTAACTATTGTGTTACCGTCTTTGTACAGAGTTGTCCAATAAGTGTAAGTCGTGAAAAAAGTTACTGGCAGTGAAGTTTCTTCACTGTTCAAATTGTCTATCTCAGTCGGTTCAATTGTATGAGGTATTACATTTGTTACCGTTTCAAATCGACTAACGATTTCGCTAGAACTGCCTTTGTAAATCGTAGTAAAATACGTATAGGTCGTATAACTAGTTTGCAATTGATGTGTTGGAGAAGATTCTATATTATCATTCGTTTCAGAACTTTCCATATCTTCGTCTTCATCAGTCGACACTTTTCGTTTAATTGTGTTTGACGAGATTGATTTCGTATCCGTAACCATTGATTCACTAATTACGTCGTTCATAGGCTTCTTATCGTCGTCGGTATTATATTTAGTACGATTTCTCGTGATAGTCATGTCGTATTTGTATGATGGTGTAACCGAAGTTTCATTTTTTTTATCTTTTTTTGTTTCTACTTCTTGTTTTTCATCGTTCAGTTCTTCATGAACAGTTTCTGGCTCATCCATAGGTTCCGACATTGCGTCTGGTACTTTTAGTACTGTAGGTTTGATGACATTTTGTGCTGAAGTTGGTTGAATACGTAGTGAAAATGGAATATTTGACGACTTAACCATGTTAGCCTGATTTTTGAGGTTGACCGATCCTTCGTTTAAACGTGTTGTTAAATACGTATACGTTTTTGAAAATGTCTTAATATCGTCTAACGGGGGAGTGGCTAATTCTCTTTTAAAGTCTACCGAATCTAAAGTAGAAGCAAATAAATCATCAGAAGGCTTTTGTAAGAAAGCAGAAGATGGTCTTCCTGAACCAACGCGGGTAGCTAATACTCTCGGACTCCTTGCTGTCTCACGCGCTACAGTATTTAATAAGTTTCCTTCTTCCCGATCGAAAAGACCGGCTACCGCGGGATCAGTGGCAAGAAAATCTTTTTCCAGCGTAGATGTGATAATATTAGTAACTACTTCTTCTCTACTTAAAACACTAGTGGTCGATTGTTCGAAAAATGTTGTCAAATATGTGTACGTCGTGTAGAATGTTTTGAATAACAGTTCCACTTCTTCCTCACTTTCTGGTTTTATAGTTGTCGGAGTCATCATTTCAGTCATCATTTCGTCATCATCGGAATCTTTAGTAACAGGATTTTCTGTGGTCATTTCTTCTTTCATTGGAATAGTAGTCAACTCTGGCGTTTCTTTTTCATCCGATTCTTTTTCAGTTATAATCGTCATTTCCTCCGTTGTAGTAGATTTCATAATATCGTCATCTCCAGGAGTTGTTGTAGGAATAGTTTCCGTTGTACTCGTAGTGATTTGAGTCATTGAGGTTTCGGTCGTGTGAGTAGGTTCTGGTGACAGCACGATCCTTGATTTTACGGACGTAGTAGTCAAATTATCGTCTACAGGGATGAAGAACGTCGTTAAATATGTGTACGTCTTGTACAACGTTCCATCGGAAGATGAAGTCGGCGAAATGGCAACTTCTTCTTCCGGTGTCGTGGGAACGTCTACTTCCGATTCGGTAGTGATTTCGTTCATGATTTTCTCGGTCGTCACTGGAAGTTCGGTCGTCACCGGAGGTTCGGTCGTCGTAGGTATTTTCGTCATTGGTATTTCGGCCTTAGATGGTTTAGAAGTTTGTAACGGTTTCGAGAGTAACGTCGAGACGGTTTGCTCCAGCTGCGTGTATTTACCATTAATGTACGAGCCATAGAAGAACGTGGTTAGTCTGGTCGTCCTGCTGTCGATCACATCCACGCCCCCGATTGTTTTCAATAGGCCCAATGCTTCTTGTTCGTTGTTAAACACTCTTGTGGTTTCTGAAATGCGCCGGGACAGCGGTTCCGTAGGCAAGGCCATCGTTTCTTCTGCGGTTACCATACTAGACTCTATAGCATTAGCGTAGTTCTCCGCGGTGGGCTCCAACGATTTAGCGGTCGTTAATGTCACAGATTTCGTTGGACTGATTATGTCTTCGGGTCGGAGAGTCGCTTCGCCTTTGATGCTCGTGACGCCCGTGGCATCGGGCAGCGTCGGCGTTTTCGGCATAAATATAATAACCGTGTTGCCGACAGTGGTCATGAAGTCCGCGAATCCGAAATACGTCACGGTCTCGTATTTTTTAACCTCGACCGGTTTGAGTCCGTTCCTGAACAAGTTCTTCGACGCTCTTAGTTTGTTGCGGAACGAGTCCTCGCGCTTAGTAGTGACTTCCGCCGCTGGCAAATAGTCTTCGTCGTTGCTTTTGACCGTAAACGTCGGTAATCCATTTTTCGCGTTCACTTTTGCCGGCTTAATAGAATCCGGGCTGAAGTTTTTCCTCACCGACACTTCCTGTCTAACGGATACGTTAGCTTTGGTGATCGGTTCCGCAGTGGTCGGGAGTGGCTCGGTTTGCTTGCCTTTTATGAAATTCGTTTCCTCTTCCTTGATGTGCTCGTATACATGCGGTTGCCCCAAGTTGTCCAATATGGTTTGCAAGTTAATCTCGGGCGTGTCGTGCCGGTTGGTCGGCTTTATATTATCGTAAAACACTCGAGAACCGGTGCTCACTATGTGCGCGTAACGGTCGCCCACGGTGGTGCCGATAACGTGGGTCGCGTACTCGGTGGTTACACCGTCCTGGACGAACGTGCGGGCCATCGACGACAATAGTCCAACAGTCGGGGATGTTTTTTTCTTTCCGTTTTCGTCCAACAACAGAACAGTGACATCTAAACCAGAGGGGGGTAGCAAAGTTAGAGCGACAGAGTAGACAAGAAACAACACATACATCAAAACATAATATGATAATAATTATATATACAACAGTAAAGCAGTTATTCTTAGAACGAGTGATTTGAAGGAATTTCCGAAGTCTTGCACGATTTCATCACGGTAGTTATTATTATTATTGTTATTTTTTGTAAATGCTAACACCTTATTGTACAAATTATTGGATAAAATAATAAAAAACTAAATTAGGGTAAAAATGTTTTCCTTGTGAAAAATACTTGATTTTCAATTCCTAATCGAATAGCAAGATATAATTATAAAATATTACAATAAAGTAGTGAATGTTTTTATAAAAGTACCTTTAAAGAGTAAACATTTTACAAATTTATCATGTGAAAAAAATCCACGTTTTTGATGATACCAACAAAATAATAAATATTTAAAAATATTTGTAACTATATTTTTTAATTATTATTACTTATTTAAATTTACTTTACAATAAATTAATTGTATTAATAATAAAAACAATCGGTTATGGATTATTTTATAACTTACATTTTAACACCGCCAAATTAACAAGTTAATACAAATCAATTTGATTGATTGAAAATATAAGTTTAGCACAGAGAAATAAGTTTTTTTTTTGTATACAAAAATGATTTTTAAAATGTTATTTTTACTATTATAATTTGGAATAATTTAAGTATTCGCTTCGTGTGATTTCTTAACAGTGAAAATATTATAATATTTACAGCAATAATTTACAGAAATGTACACACTACTATATAAACATACACATAACCTATGTCAAAATGTGTAGAAAAAAAATTGAAAGTTAAAATTTTCGAATTTTATAAAAATAAAGAAGAAAAAAATGAGAATAAAGACGGTCACAGTATTGTGAATATCTGAGTTTGTTATATATGTAAATTAATTTTTTTTTTTTTTTTTGAAATTATTATGAATTCTCGAAAACAATTTATTTAAAGTACCTTAATCTGAGCCTAATCTTTGAATTAGGTTAAATGGGATGTTTGAAGCATTTTTTTAAACAAAATTAGTAAAAGAGCGCTGATGCGCGTGTGTACCAACATGCTTCGTAAACAAAGAAATCTCGTTTTGTTAGAAATATTTTAGATATTTAATAATTCGACGCGTGCTCACTCGTTCCATAGAAATCATCCAACGAACCGCTACCAAATGTTATTTATATTATGTTCAGGTAAATAGTTTACAAATAATATGTACAATTTGTTAAACGTCTGATAATTACTTACCGCCATCTCTTTTGATCCTCTCCACGTTTCTATCTTTTTCATTGAGCAATATATCACCTAAAACGCATATATATGACTCTATTAATACGGGCGCGAATAATAATTTCAAATAGGATTTATATTTTTATTTATTTTATTTCTCGACGAACAACCACCGGTGTACGAGAAATTATACTATTGCAACTTATCACGATTACAGTGTTTTGTTCCTGTTGTACTCGTACGTATTCATAAATGTGCGTGCGCGTGTTGTATTTGTTATTATTAATTGTTCACTTCAAATTTAGGACACGCGAACTGTTATTGAATGGATTTCCATTTCGCAGATGTTCTCGAACATCGGAGTACACTTAATACACACACGTGTATAAGGAAAGGTGTTTAATTTTAATTCTCACTTCGCGTTCAAAGCGTTTTCGTACAATGAAAAGTGAAAAAATATACGATACGGCGTCTTTGATTCGTATGAGACGATTTTCCGCTGGGCGATCGACAACGACTAATATTTTTTGTTTAAAATAAATATAAAAAAATATATAGCTTAATTGTTTATCGGGAAAAACAACAATAATAGATCGTACGAAAAATTATTTGTTCGATATATATCCATTGTGTTACGTCTTGTAAAGCCAGTACGGTACACAAATAATTGGTTTTGATGATAATAATTTACGATCACGAGCAAGTTTCGACTACACTTAAATCCAATGCGATTCGTTACCAATGAATGACACAATAGGTAAACGACAGTTGAGACTATTATTATTGCGTATTCGAACACGACAACAACGGAGTGGAAAATATAAACACGCGTTTTCTATTGATTTGTGGTCAACATAATAGGTGCCGGTAAAATCGTATTCTCGACCGAATTTTTAAGCACTTTTATAGAATTTAAAGAACAAAAACCGTGTATTATTTGATTCTCGATAAATATATATATATATTTACGTACATTATGCTTCCGTTTCGAAATATAAAATACTGTTTAAATCCTATGGTTTTCCATTTGGTTACTTGCAAAACAGTCTCGTTTCGTTTTTCCTATTAATTATTGCGCGTTCGTTCGTACGGATAGTAAACGGGAACGACACGTGTACAGTACGACGAACGGGTGTACACGATCGGAAAACATTTGGTTAACTCATTGAAATTCGCTAACCTAACCCAACACCGGTGAGAGAGGGCTGACGGTGACAAGACTTTGACGAACGGTTTCGGGCGCGGAAAGAGAGAGGGGACCGCGAAAACGCAGTGGAAAGTATTAGAATCGGTTATATTGTACATGGGTAGGCATATAGTGCAACGAACTCGGGCAATAATAGTGATGATGGTCGTTGCCGATGGGCTTATGGCTCGGGCCATCGAAGGCGGCGCAAGGGGAGGGGGGGATGGGAGAACCGGTTACCGGGTTAGAAAACGAAAATCGAATACGTATATTATCACGGGACAAATGCGATTTAACAAGTTCCATTTGATCCGGTGACGTCGTACACGCGTTGCGATGACGTTGTGAGCATCGGATTGCGCTCGACCTACAACGCGAGTCGAATTAAAGTTATTATCGTTTGCATGCCGATCCGAGTGTACCAGAACGGGTCCACACGTTGCCAGCGACCGTCCTGACCCCGACTGTCTGCTGATTTGACGGTCCACCGTCTCCGCACGAGCACCATACTCATGCGACGACCTCAGGGTACCCGTTTTGCGCGTGCACGGGACTTCCGATGGACTGCGGGTTTTCGTGGCGCGTTCCGACCGAATAACGATTCGTAATTTAACGTATTGTTTTCGACGAAAAACCGCTTTTCTCGTCGAAACGACTAATTAGACGTTTATTGATCTGTCCAGCAATCAACAGTGCTTATACGATGCGCGCATGGCGTAACGCGTGCCAAAGTCATATCGTGTTCAAGGTAATAACGACATACGTTGTCGAAGCGAGAACATCGAGCAAAAAACACATTGTTTTTGTTTGATCGTCCGAACATGTCTTCAGAATTAAAATGTCTGTTGCACTCGTTTATTTCATGAACACACCGGGCGCGAGCTGTTATCGACGGATCGATTTTAAAACGGACGGCGGCGCTAATGTTTTAACATTAACCTCTTCATGCGCGGTGGCATCATTTGATGTCACATGCAATAGTTAATTCTACTCAATCGAGAACGCGTAAATTTAATATTATTTTTAAATAATCTCGTTGATTAATAAAATACCCATCGGTTTTGTCATAATCGAGTTTCAGTTATCTCTGTCAGTGAGTTGGGGGCAGTTGTCCGAAAAATGATAAGGACCGGAATCGAAAGACGGCGGCATAAAATGTGTTGCCAACGTAAAATTTCTAAGAATTCTATTATAAAATTATTTTTTTGTTTAAGTAGTTATACTGTTTCATTTGAATGATAATTATATTTTTTGATAATAATAACATAATTAGTTACATATAAAATGAACATAGGTATCAACTATATGAAATAATTATACATTTTTGAATACTTATTTTTTACTACATACTTAAAACTAAAACATGTAATATTTTATACTATTTACTTACTAGTACATAGAAAATTAAAAAAAAAAAATGATGAAAAACATATATATTTTTCGAAAGGTTCACATACAATTAAATATTAAGCTAGATATTTATAAATATACATGATATATTACATAGATTTATAACATGGATATGTTTTTTAGATGAATTTTAAGAAGAATTGCAAAAATAGAAAAGCATTACCCTTCTCTAATTACATTGGTTACTAAAATAATACAAGTCAAAGTTTTAACTCGAAAACATATCCATGATTCAATGTTATACCTACATAATTATACGTTACTATAGTTGTTTAAAATTTGGTCCATTTTTATTGAAAATATGCAAAAAAAAAAAAAGTAAAAAAAGAATAAAAAGTTTTGTTGAAAATATTCAAACAAAAAAAATGAAAAGAATTAAAATTTTTGTTGAGAACAGTATAACCTATTAGTATTTTTCCCGCTTTGAAAATCGAGGGATATTGTATAACTTTTATCAATAGAAATTATATAATTGGATTTGGTAATTTTCGATTTAGTCAGTTGGTACTGCTTTTTCAAATTTCGGACCTTATAATTTCTTAGGTCCTTATCATTTTTCGGACAAGTGCCAATCACTCTCTGTCAGTTACTGATGTAATTTCAGTTTATATTGATAGCTGCCAATTTTTGTGAAGAGCTCAAGCTAAAAATTGAAAATATCAAATTGTCCACAAAAAACGTAAGTACGATCGTACTAAATTACTTTTATTATGCATTATATCATTAAAAATCCAATTTTGGTATTGTTTTTCGAAAATATTATGAATATATATACAAAATAGTTGTTAAAAATGATGTGGCATCATATGATCCTCGGGGAAACGATTTTGAACAATAAAACCATTGTGTTGGTAAAAAAATACGTATTGTTAGAAATAGTCCATGGCCGTCGTGTGCTTGGGGAAGAAGAGTCGTTTTATAATACCCCTTCGTTTACGCTAATTCTACTTTCACGTCTAAAAGTGTGATAACGGAATCGAAATAACAAATAAAATAACGCATTTTTGAAACATTGAATTCGTTTTAATAGCTACGATCATTGTTGCACAGGAAGAGGCGCGCGGCGGATACTATCGACGCAAGATCGTTGTGTAGATATTTATTCTTAAAAAGTCCGCGTTCGACTGGAGCTGACGAGGAAAAACGGTCGTCGGTCTCATTAGACGATCAAATTATCCATAATTTTCAAAAACGTGTTTCAGTCGTCATGCACCGACGGCATCGATTTCCGGAAACTAGGTCGACAGTTACGATGTCGTAACGGCGGCATCGAGTCATGTTACAATGAATTACCATTATTTGCGCCTAGCACATTATCTATCGATATTTTATCCCGCGTTTCGCGTACTGTGTTCTTGCGCTGGGAAATGATTATGATGAGAGTTTCCAAAAACGAGGCGATTGGTTTTCGGGGCTCAGGTGCGCCCGATCGGATGAGTGGACCGCGGACGACTGTCCACGTGCATCGAATCCTCGTCCTGTTCCTGATATGGCCTTTAAGCGCACCAAAGACGGATTTCAGTCCCGAAATGTCAGGACGATGATTCACGAACAAATGCGAACGAGTTGGAAACGAATCAACGATCGGTTTTTTTTTTTTTTTTTTTAATTTCGTTTAACTTCCGCGGAATCGTTATTCAACAGCCGACGGTAATACGTTTGGAACTTGTTAATTTCGTGCCGTCAAAAGAATTTAGGAACTGCTATCGGAGCTGCCCCTTAAACCCGAGGCCTCGTCGTCGCAGATCCACGGAATCCGGCACGTGGCTTCGGGCGGAGGTACGCCGTTTGTGTTTCCAATTTGGGTCGCAGCTGGGCCGGGACGGAGGATCATAAATCGCGCACATTCTTCCGAGGCCCGACGGTGGTCTACGTGACGTCACTCTGGTGCTCATGACCGACGGCCGACCGGTTCATTCATAAGACGATCCGCGCGTTGTCCACTGCTCCTCACGACGATTATCGTTACTCATCAGCGTACGCCGTGTCCATGTAAGACCGCCGCAGCGAAATCGTTTCGACCGATATCGGTCTAGAGAACCGAAAACATTATCCCCGCGGGGAGCAAACATCCGTTCGACGGGAACACATCTTTCAGCATTCAGTATCCGACGAGCTTCTGAAGAAATTCACCGACCGCGATTTCACATTTACATAAGTAGGCCGGTGGTTTTCAAACTTTTTTTTTTTCAAGCCCGTCTCACCGCGCTCTTCCCAACGTTTTCACGGGCAACTTCATCAGATATTTTCTATTATTCCCGGTCGTTAGTTCATTACGTCGCCGTAGCGAGAAACCCTCGCGGCACCCGGTTTGAAAACCACTAGTGTAGGCGTAACGTTGCTGTACACCATGATTACGTTTGAAATCCTAGAATAACGAAAACGGTTGTTAAATACAACATATTCTTCGAAGTTTGCAACGAAAACGGTTAAAAGTCCGCATAAAAGCTGAGCATTGAGCAAGCGAGGTTTTTAAAAA